TCTCTCTCTCTCTCTCTATTCGTACTATAATATGTCATTAAACACGAAATGAAATTACCCATGAGGGGTTAGTTGTATTTAGTCACACCAGATGGCGCTACGTGTACTAAGTAAGGAGAAGAAAAAAATTATGTATATACACACACGTCCTTAGTATCAAGCAAAATATTTCTAACATCTTACAAACTTGTCAATACCAGATAACTTTAATTTACGTATTATTTTCACTTATTCAACTGCAAATATAAGTATCTCCATACACATTTTTCTTTAAAATGCTTGATAAACTTCATTCTAACAAAACAAATACACATTTTTACTTTAATACAAAACTTTTGTTCTGCCGATCTGATCCGCAAAGTTTAAAGTGTTCGTCAGCGATGTCCTGACATAATTTAATAATAAATATTAAAAACAATGTTGACTAACTAATTTGCAGTAAATTCCATAATCTAATTGTATCAAACATCAGTGGATTAATATCTAATGTTTAATGAACATGACAGACGAAAGCAACTACGGACTGTACACACACTTCGACAAACAATTACCACCAAAATGTTTATTTCAAGCTTCAAATTTGAAGTTTAGACCATACAAGGAATGTTGCAAACGTGTTAACAGAATACATAACGAAATTCGTTCTCCGAAATGAATAAAGAAAAACTTAACAAAATACAAACAAAAGTTCACAAGTTTCTGGAAGGTCCCTAACACAAGAATCAAGCCAAACTCTTGCATATTCGAGAACGTATATAACGTTTCTCCCGTCCGAGTGCCGTCAAGGCTGCTATGCCGTTGGGTAAATGATTCAAAGTAACCTTGGTTGCTTTATAGGAAAACATCCATTGGAACAAATTTAAATTAAGAAACTCACAGGATTTAATTCATAAACAAAGAAAAAACATACACTTTCTTTTCAAAAATGTTGAAATACAAGATAGAAAAAACTTTTTTTTAATACGTGTTTCATTTTTAAAATCAGTTTATATTAGTTCACTTTTGAAAGGCTATATTTTAATTTTACAATAAATAACAGGATTGCAAACAGGGTTTACTGAAGCAAAATACTTATATCTGTCCAGCTAACTGTTAAAAATCGATTATACGAAAAGCTGGCATTTAAAGAAATGTGCTGAAATCGCCGGCCGGTTCAGTATTCCTTTGCTGACAACACTACACGTGCCTAACCTCTTTGGCAAGGAGAAAAAATTGGCAAGGTTCCAAAAGTTGTTTACCTCGAACGAGGAGACACAATTGAGAACGCCACCTATCGTTCTAGATAAGAGTGGTTCTGTCACGTAGTCTTTCCAGCACGTGCACTGCTTGCCGGTTTGTTTACCTCTACATTTATACACCACACCCCAAAACCCAGATGCTGCCTGGTCAATTAAATATTGTTTTTTTAATAGTACTAAAACATGAAAACAAATTATTAGTAGTCTAACATATCAATATTTAACACACAGTATACAAGAAAACAGTATAGAAGAAACTTTTAAACTTCAAAATAGAAATAAATGAAGAATACACATTATATAATTCCATATAAACTGCCCAAGTTTAATCACACAGCACGAACTACTGAATTAAACTGACATGACACAAATATTTAATGTTTGTTAATTTTAACCTACCATTCCCATAAACAGACTGCAAATACAAATGTCAGATTATGACATTTACCGAATGACAGGTAATGATTCTGACAAAAAAAAAATTCACTTAAGCTCTTGCTTCGCTTGTACATGTGTGAAAAGTAAAAAAAAAACAATAAAAATAAGCTGGCCTACACTAGTTGTAGCAGTGCTCAATGTCTTTTCACTAATAAAAATTTACACACACATTAAGTGTTGCTTATTAACATACACAAAAGCTTAACACTGTCAAGGAAAGAAGAAAAAAAAAACACCCCTACCAACGTAAAAGATTTCCATAAACATTTCTTTCAATTTCAAAAACTGTAAGAAAATAATGTAGATATAAGTTACACCGATCTCATCTTTTGGTTTACCGGGACCAAAACCTAATCACGAATGGCTCACATTATGTGTTGTCTACTTACAAGTTGTGCGTATCAATTGTGAGCCAGTTTAAGATTAACATTACATTGATCAAATTGTAAACATTACACCGATCTTACTGAAGATACTAATTCAGCAAAATGCTAATTAGCAAAACACTAACTTACCCTAGCTAGCTTTGCACACAAAAAAGCTGTCACGAGGTAAATACAGACTTCTAGCTAACAATATGCTGCATAAAACCAGTTAGTTTGACATAAAAATAACTATACACAGCTTTAAAGATATTTTGAAAAACTACAGTTTCATCCTAGTTTTTCTTTACTTATTCGAAGTTAAAGTACACCGATAATAACATTCCAGTAACAGAATTACCGTACTGAAAACAGTCCATTTAACTTCCAAACCAGAATTTTTGATTTGTCAAAAAATGGACCAACGTGAACTGTTAATCTAATATGTTACTTACCAATATTCAACGAATGATTCTGCACTGATATTTCATATATGTGCAAAACAGATGGAGAATGAACCTGATTTAGGAGCCTGGTTAGAACACATCACATACACGGAACACGTGGAACTCTTCTTCAATGAATATTAAAATTCTATACATTATGAACTGAAGCAGCTTTTATTACAGCAAACACGAACCATTCAAACAGATTCGTGCTATTAATCCTCAGACAACTCTATAAAGAAAGCTTAACATATAACAAATTTAGTATTTCTTCATTCCGAAATTGTACACAGTTACTGTGCACCAAGATTTTTAAGGTTATATTAAAATTTCCCTACTTCAAGTTGCTTGCATATCATATATTACACGTTACACTAAGCTAGACCATAGCCAATTAAGCAAAAAAAGTAGCCTACACTCAGTATATGAAAAATATCTAACTTTAACATGTAAAAATTATTTTACATTAGAATACCAAACAAAAAAGGCAGAGTAATGTATCAAATGTGGTTTAGCTTTACGAAAAATACAAATTAACGTTGTTTAACCTGTTAACGTTACACGCGACAAAGCTGTATCTTAATTATACACACACACACACAATACGACTACAACTTACAAGTAAAGCATATTCCATTTCGACTTTGTACATGACTACAGCTAAAATTTGTACTTTTTAATTTTATAAACCACATGTGGTTACTGTCTTATCCAATCTTATACTTTTCTCCTATTTCCATTTCAGAGGGTAACAGCAAAACACAGACCAGAAATAACTAACTTAGTTAAAAAAAGATGGTGTTTCAACAAAAGCCTCGCGTTAACTTTAGTTTAGTCAGATCCTGTAAGCCTAGTTTAAATTAGTCACCGGTAAAAGATAGTTCGCATTTCAACCTGCAAAAATACCCTGGAAATGTGGCAAAGCTAGGTTTAACTGAACTCTTAGAATATTAAAACTTCTTGTTAAGTGTTAATAAGTAGACTACTTACCAAATTCTTATATTGTTACTAACACTAAAGCCATAGGCCTAAGCCAAACTGTAACGAATGATTTTTTTTTTAATATGGGCCTATTATTGTTCCAGTGTATTTCCCTTACTTTCATGGAAATGGGTTTTTCTTAAAATTACGATCATAACTTTTTTGCTCAACTAACTTATAATAACTTGAAATAAAATTAACTCAAACAACTTAGGCTCTATATAACATTTAGGAAAACGAGCGGTTTAGCTTTTATGGACATAACACAAGCTTTCATTGTAATGGTAATCTGCAGAAAACATATATCTTATAATGGAGACCGTCTAATTGCAACGTTAAATCTTAAACGTACTTATCTAAAACTTAAAAGACGGCCTAAATTTTGGTCTAGCTTACGTTAAGCTTATGGTAGGCATAAAACTGAGATGTAACTTAATTATTCTTAAATTGTTTATTTACTTTTTCTTAAGGTTAAGACATTTCATTCACGGTCCCTACGATTGTACGTTGATAAAGATTTTACAAAATGAAAGTCAATTACACCACAATTCGGACATGCTACACTGTGGCTGTAGTCACTAAAGAATTGCAGTCGATGGTCTGGCATGATGACCATACGATGACAGTTGTTACATTTCAGACGCTCGGGACAGCAAGGAGTAGCAGCAAATATGTCATATGAATACATAGACCCCAAAATGAGGTCGCTTCCATTCCAGCGGTTCTGACAGTAACGACATCTCAGATTCGTATTCCACCCTTCCAAGCAACTCATACAAACAGCATTTAGATACTGGACTCTTCCATCTAGCTTAACAGGAACACAGCCCTTGCTATGTTGACGAGGAGACAAGAAGAAAGTTCCGTCGATTAGTGGGTAGCGATCAAAAATAATCATAGTATTATGGCACAGAATACACGAGATGCGGTTCACATGGCTGGCGCTCAAAGTTGATAGAATAAAACATCGAGTTTCATCATTGCCGTGACTTCCTTCATCTTCCATCTTGATGTGATAAGAATTAATCTTATGGCGAGGCAGTGTATTGAAGGATGAGTAGTCATGACGACGACTGAAAATGTTGCCTGAACCATGTCTTTCTCGTCTGTCATTGAAGAAGGGCTTCTTGGTCGCTCCGAAACCATGAGTCGGAGACATTGTAAAGTCAGCCGAACCCGGCGGACTTCCCGACCCAGTGCTGGACATACTAGAGCTCCTGTTTCGCATCATGGGTACACCTATTCCCGCTTGCTTCTGAGGCGCAGCACCATTCAAGGTCAGAACGGGCTTGTCGTTCTTTTTCTTACGGTTCCTCTTTTTCTTTCCATTATCATCATTACAAGTGGTATTACCATTTTTTAAGGCTACCCAATCTAAATCTTTTCTCAAATGTCCTTTACCACATTTACACCCACAAGCTTTATAAGCAAGGTCATAGCCTTTTTTGGTCCACAAATTCTGTAGACGCTGCTTTTCGCTCCAGCTTCGAGCTCGACCAGTTGATCGAAGGTAAGTCAAAACAGCTTCTTCCCATTGGTCAAAACATGATTTATGCATGTACTGTCCTTCATGACAAAGTTCATTATTGCATACTACTTTTACAACGTTATTGACTGTTAAAGCATTATTAGGAATTGATTCTTCTATCTGACACCCCAGCGGAACACAACAGTAGTAACTTGTAACAGGCTGCTGATTTGCCATGTTTCTCACAAAACTCTTCTTAACAGTGGTAGTAATTAAATCGCTACCTTTGCAACCTACGTTAACTGGAAAAATAAAAATTACAATTAGTCACCATTAAGTTTACTGTCAACAATACAGTACTATGTTATCTAATAGAAAATGCGACCAAAACAGCGACAAATACGATAGTATTCCACTCCCCTTCGTATCTGACAGCAAAATACAACGGCAGATGGGCGCGAAAACAGCTTTGCCACGTAGGAGGAGCTACAACTCGACGAGGCGTTCTATTGGTTAACAGTGTAAACAAAATGTACTCATGTGACATGAAAAGTTCAATCCGATTCGTTAAACTTTCACTGCACTCTCGGGTAAACTGCGTTACAGAATTACGTAATCTTTGAAAATATGTATATATATATATATATATATATTAGTACTTCTTATTTTCATTACCTAAAGCTACACCAAACAACTAGTAGA